TACGTGTAGCACGATATCCATGAGCGATTAACAAAACATGCACCCAAGATTCATGACAGGCCGCTCGCTGAGGAGTCGAGTGGTCTACCAATACTAGTCTGTAAATCGGATTTTTGAGATGATTATTATAATAATGTCTCCTGCTGATGAATACGGCCTCTGCAAGAACTATCGCTAAGATCAGCACAAGATCCCTTTGTCCAACTTCCACATTAACAGAATCAATCTTAAAATGTTAATCCAGAAGCCACGCGTTCACCTTTAGTCTGCTGTACAACCCTAAGGATGACTTCTCTTATTATTTCGGAACAGGTACAGGAGCTACAAGTGCAAAACATAAAACTATTAAACATTCTTTCGAAGCCTGCAAATATCAGTAAAAACACTGAATAGCCATTGTTTGAATAAAAATAGTGGGTGTTTAATATAAAGTGAGAACAAGTGTACATCATCCTCATACGATAAAGGTTGCTCTACATCATGCCCATCTAAAATCTCCAGCCAGTACAATTAAAACAAAGCAGTACGTACAATGCGCCCCCTTCTTGACAACTGGAACTAAGCATTTTCTTGGACGCCGTGCCCGCACACAAGACCAAACCAGTCTTCAAGCTTATATTTTGGACACCAACTGCTGGAAAGACTAACATGGACAGAAAGGATGCAACCTGCTCAGTTACTACTACGAATGATACTGGTTTGCAGTCAAATGCGATCCTTGGAATAGTGAGACAGAAACAACTCTGGTCTGAACATGTCGCTGCTGATGCTGCGAATGATGATGATAATGATGATGAGTAGGCCCCTACTTCAGAATGAAAACACTTTAATAGCAGAATAAAATGAAAATAAATCATCCACTCATTTCATATGCCGATATAACTACCCACTTGTTAGATAAGAACTCGTTAATAAGTTAAATCAATGGAAAACACGTCAGGCCAGTTAATCTATGAAGAACATGACCCTTGTTATATATGATTTGGGATGATAAGAAAAATTAAGTCAGGCCCGCATGTATCTGATATATATCTAAATTACATATCCCAACTTTTGGCACGCGACCACACAGGCAAATTGACCTAATTTGTCTCGGGTATTCTTAAATCGCCTTATAGACTAAAAAATCGCAAAGGTCTCTTTTATATGAGAAATAAAGGCAGCATTTCATTGGTTCCCTTCACTACTGATATATAATTATTATTTTATGGAAGGTTTATAGCTTTATCTCTATTTAACTTACGTCTAGAGCGCATGTATTCAGCGCAGTTTGTCGCTATTGTATGTTTCCTTATCACATCATGAAAATGACCTTCCACATTACAACTAACGGGATCACATCTTAACAGCTGTCACATTTCCAAACCCATACATGTTACATCAAACTATGAAGTTTTCACGAAGAAATAATATACATAAGATAAATATAAGAAACGATATAAAAAAGATCGATATTATTTATTTTTTTAATTTAGGCTGTTTATACCATCTATTTAAGGGTGTTTATACCAGCCTTGCAGAGTAATCAAGTCACCTTACCGTATCAGCATTGTGGTCAGCTTCGTACTCGTTTTCATCTAGTGTGGAGAGCCTTCGTAAAGTTCGGGGTGAATACGGAGGGAATATCAGCGAACCTAGCGATACTGGAGATAATCCAGGAGAGGAGGAAACACCCATCCCGCCCTGAGAGCTGAACTCAAACCCATGTGAGGACTTAGACACGTGAAATCCTGGGTTAAAATCAGACGGAGAAGTGATCCTTCTAGAGACGTCTGTGTCACTCGAACTTCGACGTTTAACAATCCTCGCCCTAGCTGACATCCCGCTCGGTCTGCCTTGGGTCTCAGTAAGAGTTTATTTACCACTGTGTGTTGGATTCATCAGGTGAGAGTGGTGAAAGCGGTGAAGTAACAGCGCTGCATGCGCCACTGCCTAACCTTTAAGTGTATATACCATTTTGTAAAGCAAAGACGTTATCTTGTCTGTTGAGCTGGATCGACATGTAAACGGACCTCAGTATTCACACCCACCGGACATGGACTCCCTGTCGCTTTCATTTGACATTCTTTGGAATGAATTTCACAATTATACTGGTTCCTTTCCAAATATCCGATATTGTCACATATCGTTGCGTTGTGTGTTTCTCTTGACCCTGTGACGTCAGGATATACACATACCGGCATGGTGCACGTACAGAGACGAGTCACGGGGCCTCTCTCAATGCTAGCATCAATAAGTTCTTAAGACACTCTCTAAAATGTGATTGATATGGCATTGGGGCACCAAGGGATCTATAGGAATCAGTAGTTTATAACGAGGAGATGCAAGCAAACGCACTAAGTGTAGTTCTCAGAATCCATAACGAAACCAATAACGCCCGCAAGGAGGGTCTTCTTCCACTGTCCAGGGAACATGAATAAGTAACACTGGATTGACTGTCCATATCTTGAAGATACGATAATAAATCTATATTACAGATAAAAATATTGTGATATATGAACCCGATAAACAGATATACTGACTGCTAAACTCTGACACTACTGACGACCCATCCGGGGGCTGATTAACATGGATAGATTAAACTGAGCTGACTTCGTTCCAAAAATATTGTGTAAAATATATTATGGAAATTTCCCAGTGCCTATATAATATATAATTGAAATTGTCCGGCATATTTTGTTCTCATTTGACTATTATTATTGAGATTTTCATTGTATTTAACGACATGATAGTGTTTTTGATAACGTGGATTTTTTAAAGGTAGGACTATTTAAAGTAAGTTACACAAAACGATTAAATGTCAAGCCTGACTCAGTTAGCTGTGATACCATAGGATTTCATCGTTAAAGGGTTAATATTGCATAGTAGAACGTACTATCTTATACTTCTAAACACTGTTCTACTTCGCTATATTCTCAAAATATTGAAATCCAATGCCCTTCAACCACGTTACATTCCTCTTTTGATTTTTAAAGAATACGTGTATATAAGTCTACCTAATGACCCATATCTTCTATCATATTTTCATTGTGTTGAATCTTGACCAAATCTGTTGAAGAGATTTATCAAGCACATCAACCCTCAAATAAGATCTTTGGCAAAAGTCGGGCTGTATTACCGGCACATCGGTGATAGCACAATTGTTCGTAATGACTCCGATGGTATCAACAAACTCAATTAGCAGCATTCATGACCACCTTAATTATGCTTAAATTCTGACATTTGGCATCAGAACTGAACCTCGCTATTATGTGTGGATATAAGAAAAATGATACGAGAATGGGACCCAACTTCAATTTCATTCTTTACAAACTTAAACGAAAAACTGGCGCTGATCATTTCATATCCATGCATTGGCCCTGATTCCACTAACAGACATGGGAAGAAGCTGTGTTTTGTGATACAAACATAGAAATAGGCAGACTTTACAAGTAAACTTTGCCTTAAGCCCCTTACATGCATTTTCCAACTTCAGATGAGCACACTAAAATTGGGCACTGAATGCTACTTGTGAATCAGCATCGAAAGTCTTATTTAATTCTACAACATTCACCGAATTCAAACATACTATTCAGCTGTGACTTATTATACATTCTTATTACGATCAGTCCCTTTACTGACACGATACTAAACTCAAACTAGTAATTATATAAGGCAGCAAAATTTCGCTTCCACTAACACACTCACTGCAGGCAGTGTGCAGTGCGCATCTGTGGCTTTGTACAGTAGCGCTCACGAGTGAAGTTACGACTGTTGAATGCTACCAAGGTAAACTAATATGTTGGTGTTGGTCTTTCGCTTTCGAAATAGTCGCTTTGTTATTTTGCATATGAGTACAACTGTGCAGTTATAACCCACCCCATCTGTGTCCCATCAAAAAAAAAAAAAAAAAAAATGGTTT